GATCTTGACCTTTGACACAGAGACTTGAATATGGTGCTCTACATTTTATCAAGTGATATTTTATAGCTATGAAAAGTTTCAAATTACTGTATTTAAAATCATTCATGAGACCTACCCCAGACAAAAGTTTACAGCCATCCCAGTCACCCAGGTAACAATGACACACTGTACTGCGTACAATAGTACTGGTCTCTATAACCTCCTCTGATTCATATTACAGCTACATAACATTCAAACTGACTGTGCTAGTGAGGAGTGTCTTGGTAAACAGTAAACATTTGGAAGGGGGTAATTTGTTAGCTGTATGTTCGTTTTATACAAATTATACCAGTGTCCATGCATATAATCTAAAGTATGTACGTATACTGATAGTATTAAGGGAAAACTCAAAGTACCTATATGATGATTGGGAAGGCCCAATTGATACGGACTAGTGTACTATAGTGAATAAGTGTGACCGTGTCTGAAGGTTATGGTATTTACAATTAGTAAGGATACCTACCTCAGGTATCAGATGCAAATATACGAGAACAATGATCTGGGAAAAGGATAAATATATCGGACATATGTGAAGTGTTGGAATTGACCCATAAACTATACTCCAAGGAAAACATCTTATGTACCTCGGTGTGAGCTTAATACACATCGTTAAACCATGTGATGAATAACCACGAACAGTGCAATGATTCGAGAATCTTATGAACATGTTAAACAATTGCAAAGTGTGGGGGAATGAACCATATATAGGGAACAAAGTGAAGTGGATATACCCAAGCCAAGAACCAAGGCCTTTGTTCACACTGGCGCCTAAACCGCCCGCGGCTACAGTTTCGAGGTAAAGAGATAGACAAAGTAATTTGCCCGAAACTGACAAACCAAACACTTACTGTAGTATGTAATTTAGAATTAAGATGTGTAACTATAAGGCATAAAGTCACAATTTATAAAAAGGTGTATGTGTGGGGGACAGAATAAAGATATGGTGAAATTTAAGCACTGGCACCCCTTAAGCCTATTCAGTGTGAGACCAGGAGGCTCGTCCTCAGTGACGCTCCGCATCTCATACACGCAGGTCAGTACACTACAGCTAGTGTTATATCAGAGTACATAAAGAGGCATACCTAGCATTTTATATACATCTTAATGTCTTGCCTCATGTTACTGTTAATATAATAAGTTAATGAATGGGTTTTGTAATGTTGTGTGTTAATACAAAGGCCCATCAGGCTAGTTAACACATTTGTTTACACTCAGTCACACTCCGCATCTCATACACACAGGTGGATCCGCCTGTGAATGGAGGGAGACCAGTGAGGTCGGAGGAAATGCTTGGCCCAGCAACCACTGTTCAACTTTGAGGAACCCACCTGGTGTTGTGGGTAATGTTTATGGCTGCTATGCAACCTCCACTATGGATCTCTGGACATCTCACACTTCAGCACCCTGGATGTGAAGAGATGTTGGTGCTACTTGAGGTGCTTACTGTCGCTACTTTAAGCAACCTAATGATACCGGACGCAGAAATAGTCCTGGTAGGAATGAATGCCTGGTAAGGATCTCATCTTCTTAACAAGAGTAGAGTGTGAGATGGGTACCTACTGTGAAACCTTGGTGCTAAGAATGAGCTGCAGTACCTGTATGTATTGTGTGTATTATTGAATGTTCCTTATTCAGGTGATAATGGATATGTTGGTGCAATTAAATAATGTGGGTGATATTGGGGAAGGAATGACCTAGGTAAGGACGTCAATGAATTTGTATGATGGAGAGAGAAGACCTTAATTAAATATTTAGAGAAGGTCAGGTTTTCTTGTGTGGTGCACTGACCTTAATAATTGCTTCAGGAAGGTCAACTATTTTTGTATTGTGACTAAATGCAACATTTTTTATTTAGGAAAAAAGTACAGTAAGTCCTCATTTAATGTTGTCCCCGACAACGTTGTTTTGTTATAACGACGCAACTCTTTAGATGCCCATGACTTGAGCAACGTCCTGCCGATTCGGTATAACGTCATCATGGACTACTTTGTACGGCGCATCACCTTCTCTCATCCAGTCAGAGCGGGAGGAGGAGCCACCCTCCGGGTCTCAGTGACTCACCACCCTCCTCTCTCCACTACCCACCACACACTCGCTCCACCTCCGCCCATCAGTGAGTACAAAACAAAATGATTTAGTTTATTTATCTTTTAGGGTGTATAACATATACTATTTTCTATAAAAATTCCATTGAATTTATGTATATGTAATGTATTTTATGGGGCAAAGTGGGGGCTGGGGAACGTAACTCACGTATTTTATCTATTTCTTATGAGGAAAATATATTCTGTAATGTTGTTTCCGTTAACGTAGCGGTTTTCAGGAACAGAACTACGACGTTAAGCAAGGACTTACTGTAGTTAAATTCGTGGTTGGTGTTTCACCCTTCCTTCCTTCCACTCTCAAATTGGTTTATGAAAAACACTAACTCACAGTGCCTGGATTGCTCTGCCAGCTACTTAAAGAATGCTACACATACTGTCCTGTGGTCTGGTGGCAGTGACCTTAAGTTAAGAAAACCCTAGGATTAAGTGACCACAATACAGAGCAGTATAATACCACAATACTGTATGGCATTTACAACAAGACTGATGCCTTTTACAGTTCTCTGACATTATCACTCCCTCATATTGCAGCAACAAGCATACCAATAATACAAAAAAATATTCATGCCTCTCATTTATTCTGGTGTAAACTATGAGTGACTTTGACCTTCATTCTTGAAAATTTATAAGCCAATTCTTGAAAATTTCAGCTTTTAAATTTTTTCTTTCTATCCAGCTCGGAGTAACAGAATATAAAAAATCAACAAAAATTAAACTGTATTTCAAGCCATTAAGTCCTTCAAAAATATATATTGGGTACCAATGGCCCACAATCCCTTATCTGCAATTCCGAAATCCGAAAAATTCTGAAAACCGATAGTTTTTCGTGGAGCATCACTCGTGTGCACAACATACCCAGAGTGAGGCCGAACATGACCCGACACGGCCAAAGCTTGATCCACGCAGGTGTGAGGCGTCACTTGTGTCTTAGCAGAATATAACTTGCATTGCTGGAATCCTTGCAATACAGTGAATAATTTGTATGTAGATATTACACACCTCAAATTAAGTGTTAAAATATTTTATTGTTTTTATTTATTATTGTACAGTACTGTATACTGTACAGTACAGTACAGTACAGGTGCTCCCCGACTTACGACGGGGTTAGGGACCCAAATCCAGGTCGTAAGTCCAACATAGATAAAAAAATAAACAAAAAAAAAATAAAATAAAAAATTTCAACGAGTATTTAAAAAAAAAAAAAAAAAAAAAATACAATGAAATACAGTACAGTAAAAGTAATAAATAATAAGGAATGGATACAGTGTGACTGAGCAATTACCTTTAATGTAGTCAGCTGAATGCACACGGGGCCCCCATAATTTTCTAATTATACATGGAGGCTACATTAACTGGAAAAGTTTCGGTATAGAAAATGTGCGCGTCATTTATATATATATATATATATATATATATATATATATATATATATATATATATATATATATATATATATATATATATATATATATATATATATATATATATATATATATATATATATATATAAAATGGTCACGATTGCGGCGGTTGTATGTCCCGACGGTCGTAAGGTCAGAGCAGGTAGTAAGTACCGATGGATGTAAGTTGAGGCAGTCGTAAGTCGGGGACTACCTGTACTGTATTTTGTTTATATTTAATGTTTTGTTAATTCTATTACCTGTTTACAGTACTTTGTATGTACTTTTTAATTCATATTCATAAGGTTCATTGCAGAAATTTTAATGTGTTTGCTTAAGGGGTGCTGCCACAGACCCCGCTAGGGTGTTACCATAATACAGCCTGGATACGGTATATGTACCGTACACCGTTCTGAAATCCAAAAAATTTTGAATTCCGAAACACATCTGACCCCAAGGGTTTCGGATAAGGGATTGTGGACCTGTACATATACACAAATACAGTAACAGCTCTGTTAGCCGGAATTCCTCAAACCTGGAACTCTCCAATAGCCGGAATTTAAATTTTCTCAGAGAATCGTTCCCAAAGCTGGAATTTTCCAGAAAATTCCGGCTTTGGGAACGATTTTCCAAAAAACTCCGAGAAAATTTTCCCGGTAACTGGAAAATTCCGGGGATGGGGGATTTTTTCCGGGTTTGAGAGATGAAAATCAGGAGCATTTTCAGGAAATTCCAAGAAAAATATTCCGTTACCCGGAAAATTCTGGGAATGAGGGATATTTTTCCAGGTTCGAGAGATGATGTACAGTAATGGGCAATTTCTGGAACTTCTGAAAAAATTTCTGTTACCCGTAAAATTCCAAGGATGAGGAATTTTTTCTGGCTTTGAGAGAGTCGTCTCGTTACAAGAGAAATCTCTCATTCCCGGAAGTGCTCTGCACCAATTGTTCCGGCTAACGGAGATATCACTAATCTTGACATTTTCTTGATAAAAATACTAAACCTGTCAAACACGTCACTGAATTTTGAAGCCATTTTACCACAATCTGCACTCAACTTAAATGACAATAATCAGAGCTCCATTAACATTAAAAATATTTTAGTTACCGGAATGGTTCTACTTTTACCAAAGTACAAGTACCCTGTATTCTTTTAGATAGTGAGACCCATTATGTACAAGTTTTACCACCTTCAGAGTGTAAGTTTCACAGTGTTCTTGTTTACGTCAGAGCCAATTCCACTTTTCTTTTTAATATCTTTCTGACACTAGTTCAAAATAATTTAACCTGGAGAAATTAAATTACATGCATGGTTTTAAAATAATAAACCAAAGATCAATTCAAGAAAACAGTACGTATCACTAATCCCTGTCAACAAACATAATTTGAACATATTTACTATTTCTACACTACAGTATAATAAATATAAATGCTTGAAAGCACGGTATTCCACTCACTCTCTTTGAGCTGTTATCTCTCGCAGGGGTGATGGTGAATGCGTGGTTCCTCCTGTTGTGCTGGACTCATAATGAAGTCGAACTAATGTTACTGCCGACCCCAAGCCACGAACTACTATGCCTGTCTCACCCTCTAAATCAAAATACTGACGATAACTGTGGAAAGATATGAGGGTCATCAAAATTACTTGATCAAATTCCTTCTTTTTCTCTCTCAAGCTTTTCCCCAATATGGGACAAGGTGGCAGGAATCAATAGCATTACTGTATTGTATACATTACTTATTGCAAAAAGTTGAATAAGGTAAAAACAGCCAGAAAATGGGTTACCCAATAACAGCATTTCCACCAAGTTCCAGAACCTTCAGTCCAATTCGACGTTGGAGTTCCCCCGAGAGTTTAGAAAAAAGGGTCTGACGTGCTTCGTTACTAGCACGAGGAGTGCGAATCTTGTCTATCCACTGATACTCTGGATCATCATTCACCACCAACTCTTCAACAAATCCAACAATATTCTGACATCTGTATCCAGCAGGAATCTCTGGAGCTGTAAAATTAAAAATAACATTTTAAAGACGATTAATCATACTGTATTATAGTGTTGGGATGTGCAAAAATATTATGGGAAGCTGATAGAAGAGGCACAGTTGGTTGTCTGAAGAAGCAAACTAAGGAATAAAACTTTAATAAAGAACCCCAATACTTCAGGTACAGTTGAGGACTTTTCCAAGTGATACAGTGAGCAGTGTCAATCCACCCTCTCCATGATGTGTAAACCCTGAGAGTATCAACTTGTGAATCTGAAGCATTCACCCAATTTAAAGTTGATAGATGACCAAGTCTCTAAATATTGTGTCCTTTTACAACTTTCATGACCCTATAAATAATGGATGCATTTAATTATATTGAACATTTCAGTAAACCCTCAAAAGTCCGGACCCTTTAAGTCAGGATTTCGGATAGTTCGGATCTTTTCCAGGCATGAAACATTTATCTAAACCCTTAAATATTTGTCGTTTGAAATTCCTACTGCGTGCAGTCATTTGAAATTCCTGCCAGCCAGCAATCCCTTGGCCTCTTTCCTCCTCTCAGACCTGTAAGTGAGCAGTTTCTTCCCTCACTCTTAGAATGGGCTTGCCCATAATGCTGCACTGTGATTGGTTAGCTACAGAATAAAGGTAATGTTTTGGGTAAAATTCAAACAATGGTGATGTTAATCCTCCCCGGAAGGGAGCAGAAGACCCACACACGCACGCAAGCAAGCAAGCACGCACTCACTCACGCGCACACACCATCACCACGACCTCATCTGCAAATTTGGTAAGAACCTTCTACACCATCCTCGACACCGGCTCCTACTACCACCTGAGATCCCTAGCCCGAGAATTGCTGTTCGACACCACAACCGCATCCAGCCCATACGTGCACGAACTGATCGCTATAAGAACAGCCCAGTCCCAACCATTGTAAAAATTATCAATAACTTGTAATAAACCAGTGTATTCACTCCCAGTAAATACTACTTCTTGCACTGTCACTATGTTGAAATGCCCTGTAGTTTGAGCTTTTCCCCATCTAGTTATCATATATCTTATTTGTATCACTTATGTTACTTGTATATTATTTGTAATTCGTAACCCATTCCCCAAATATGTAACTGTATATTTTCAGCCTTCTGGCTGCCAAGCTCTTTCAATAAACCGTTAATTTTTATTATTTTTATTATTATTACTTACCTGGCTCAGTCCATCTCTATCCATTGTTTTGAAGTCAAATTACAGTACATATTTATATAATATTTTCTAATATTTAATATTTTATATTATTAATGATGAAGTATACACCATGCTCCAGGTGATAGAATCACACTAGCCACCTAACCTAAATACAGGAACAACAATAATTGTTGACAACAATCGACTTCACACATCATGTTACCATTATCATGTCAGTAAATTTAAATGATGAAGTGTAAGGAAACTGTTCCAGAACTCCGAACTCTTAAAAAATAAACTTTTAGCCCAACGTTTTCCGAAAGACTGAATGATGTACTGTATAATGCCTTCTATTGTCAAGCACTGTACACATGAGCAATGGCTGGCTCTACCCAAGGTCACTTAAACTGGTCCATCTCCTGCAGGTCACTCAGAGAACTCATCAAGAAATATAATGAAGATGACTGACTGTAATGGAAGCAGTTACTGTACTTAACTTCTATGCACATAAATTATACTTACTACCACAGAAGGAAGAAGGGCAACAATAATAAGATTACTGCCCAATGGAGGAGGAACACAAGATATAAAATCCCAAATTAAAAAGGAAAAGAAAAGTACTGGACTTACTAAAGAAGAACTGCACGCCACATGATGACTGGCGAAACTTGTTAAAGTCCGAGAAAAGATCAACTTTAACAAGAATGTTCACCTCACCACGAATACCATGCATAGTGTCATAGACAGGCAACCATCCAGACATGACAGCCGTTCCTGAAATATGAAAAAATCAATCTTCAGACATACCTCTGGACATTATATACACAATATAATTTGTTTTCATACTGTTCCTTATTACCTGATAATTCATTCTACCTTCCTTACTAGATTTATTCTTCTGTAATGCACCTCCTCCTCTAAAACAAGACCCCGAGATATACATTTATCCCCAATTGCAAACTTAGACGGTTCTTGAATATGAGGAGAGGATGATAACCTTGATAATTTCTGCTCATTTCAAAACTTGATATCTAATGCTTTCAAACTGAATCACTGACATATAACTATGTCTAGCTGTCAAATTCAATGGGCACCATCAAACTAAGAGCCTAAAGGTTCTCTTCATGAAATAAAATAAAAATTCTATTCACACACACACACACATATGCATGCATGCACACATGCATGCATGCACACGCACAAACACACACTACTACTACTACTACTTTGCCATCACTCAAAATCGAGTATGGCTATCATCCAGCTATGATACAATGATGCGAGTTATTTTGTATGTCACCTAGGTCAGTGAACTCTGAGGTGACTGAAGAGGCTGATATGGGACCAGCAGGGTTATCCACAGATGTTGCACATGTAGGAGGGCTACATCTAGTGCGGGAGAGGCGGCCGCAGTGTGTTTCAGGCGTTGACACTTGTCTGCCTCGTTGTGCAGTTGGGCTAACTAGAAAGTATTGACACCTTCTCGTGTGGTGATCATCCAAGTGTTATGGTGTGGAGTAATCGTCTCCCAGGTGAAGGGGTCGTTTTGGCACTTTTTCAGGCTTTTCTTAAGACTATCTTTATACAATACCTTTTCAGTTACCCGCCAGCGTTACGTTTACTATTTGTTAGGTGACTGTAAAGTCGCTGCTTGGCAGACTACTGTCGTCCATGCGGGTAACATGGCCAGTCCAGCATAGATGTTCGTCGATAATGGTAGCCTCGATAATCCTACGGTTAGTGTCAGCAAGAATACTGGCATTTAATCTCGTCTTCCCTGCAAACTCGAAGGATGGAACATAGACTACATTGGTGAAAGTTTTCAAGTGCCTTGATGTGCCTCCTGTATGTGACCCATGTCTCGCTGCCATATAGCAGAGTGGAGAGGACCACTGCTCGATATACATGTAACTTTGTAGATAATTTCAGCTCCCTACAACTGGAGACACGGTTTCGGAGTCTGCCAAAGGCTTGAAATGCACATCTGATCCGATGCTGAATCTCTTCATCGATGTCTGCGGTGGTGGACACGTGGGAGCCAAGATACTGAAAGTGGGTAACATTAGAGAGGGAAGTACCATTAAGCTGGATGGATGGTGGATGTGTGGCTGAACCAGGGGCAGGCTGAAAGAGAATCTGAGTCTTACGCACATTCACCTCAATGCCGAAGTGTGCATATGCATCTGCGTACGTGTTCAGGATCTCCTGTAGGTCGTGTTCAGTGTGCGCGACAAGGGTGACATCAGCTGCATACTGAAGTTTGGTAATGGAGGCTGCGGACACCTTTGTTCCTGCCTGGAGTTGTCTTATTTTGAAAAGATCCTTCATCCGGTACTCTATGTCCACCCGGCCGGCTAAATTGACACTGGCACGCATAAGAAAGGCAGCCAAGAATATGGAAAAGAGAGTTGGTGCCAGTACACACCTTTGTTTAACCCCTGTTTGGATGGGGAAGAACTCTGACTGGGTGCCATTGTGCAGGACAGTGCCATTCATGCCATTGTGGAGTTGCCTCACAATGGTGATGAATTTTGGTGGGTAGCCAAAACAGATGCCGGTCCTCCAGAGGGCTTTCCTGATGACCGAGTTGAAGGCCTTGGTTAGATCGATGAAATCCATGTACAGGTCACGACGCTATTCTCTGCACTTTTCCTGTATCTGGTGGGCAGCAAAGATCATGTCAGTGGTGCCACGTGATGGTCTAAAGCTACATTGAGATTCTGGGAGGAAGTTTTCCGCCTCAGGAAAAAATCTGTTTATAAGAGGACTCGGGCAATAATCTTGCCAGCTGCGGACAGCAGTGAGATCCCGCGGTAGTTGCCACAGTCTGACTGGTCTCCCTTGTTCTTTAAGAGCTTGGGGGATTTCCTCCTTTTCCCATATATTTTCCAGGAGAGTGGAGACAGCTGGTAAGCAAAGGTCCTCCTGCTTTATACAACTCGGCTGGGATTCCATCAGGCCCTGAGGCTTTGTTATTTTTCATCTGTTTGATGACAGTAGCTACCTCATTCAGGGATGGAGGATATCTGAGGTGGGTCAGCTCTGGATGCTGAAGGACCTGCTGGGTAATCAGGACATCCACATTAGTGTTTCAGTTGAGCAGTGAATGGTAGTTCTCTTTCCAGTGCTAAAGGAGTCCTCCATTGTCTTTAATTATGGAGTTACTGTCAGATGAGCGGAGGGGGATTGCGCCACGAGTGATTGGCCCGTAAAATGTTAAAGTGGAATTGAAAAATTCGTGCATCTTGTGCTGATCTGCAAATTTTTGCGTTTCACATGATTTACTTTTAAACCAATCGTTCTTTAGATTGCGAAGTTCCCGCTGGGCCGCCGCTTTCTTCTTGCGGAAGGTATCAGCTTTGGTCCGAGACCGAGGGTTGATCTGCCAGTCAGTTAAAGCAACACGTTTATCATCGAAGAGTACATTGATTGCCGGGTCATTTTCATCAAACCAGTCTTGGTGTATTTGATCTGGCCAAGGGTCTCTCAGCAGGTTTTTGTTATGACAGTGTTGAGAATATCCCATTCTGCAATGGGATTTGGGATGTTTATCAGCCCATGTTCGAGCTGCTCTCTGAAAGCATGTGCTACTGCTGGATGCTCCAGACGCTTAGTGTTAAACCTCTTTGACACACACACAGTTTTTTTTTTTCTAATCAAAGTATAAACTAGAGCACTTCTCTTACAAACCTGGCTGTGACGGATCATGTGGTCGCTGAGAATGTGGGGGAGTAGGTGGAGGCAGCAAAAGAGGGTTTAGGTCTATATAAACTTTGCCAATGGCATCATTGGCTGAATATGTGTCATGATCCATAAGACGAATCTGTAATGGTTCATCCTGGAGTTCTTGATCATCTACCTGTGGGATAAAATCCTATGTGTCAGTCACAAAATTTGTGTTCAAGGCTTTAAATTCAAACAAGCTATTAAGCCTTAAATGCAAAGACTCAGACCCTTGATATCTTTATATTGCATTACAAATAAGTGCATAATTCTTTAAGTATTTTATATCCCAGTAATTATTTAAGATCCACATCAACTCTCTTACCTCAAATCTAAACCACTCTGAATTCCACTGTGGGTTAAGGCTTTTTCTATATACCTCAGTTTTGTAGGTGATAGTACCAAGTTTCACTTCCACATAAGCGTCAGTAGTGTCTGAGGAGCGGTCCATCACAGGTAAATTCCTACCTGCCACTACACGAACTTTAACTTTGCCCGGCATCTTACAAGATCAAACTGAAAAGTATTAAACAATAATTACCAGTCTGTAATAACTGCAGTAAATAATTTGTAATAAAAATAGTTATGACAAATGAATGATCGAAGTACAAAACCCTTATGATGACTGACTGAGGGGAAGAAACTTGTGACCTATACAACCAATAACAGTGTTAGGATAACTGATCTATGAAGTGTTTACTGAAAAGCATTTTTCTCATCCAATCAAAACTCTCAAAAACTATATTCACACCTACTTACCTTATTTACTTAATGGCCACCCATTAGAGGTAGCCATACAGAGGGAAGGAGACCAGTGGCCTGTGTAGGATCCCTCCAATGTTCTTGAATCCCTTCAACCACAAAAGGTAGCTCATGCAACCAACCCTTTAGTCCCTACTAATTTATAATCCCATCCAAGGAAGGAGGAAGAAACCATATCACTCACTTCCTCCTCAAAGTAATGGGGAAAAAATCACATGCTATAAGAACAGCCCAGTCCCAATCTTTAAAAAATTATCAACAACTTGTAATCAATCAGTGTATGTATTCACTCCCAGCCAATCTTACCTTTTTGCAATATCACTATGTTGAAATGCCCTGTATAACCTTTTCCCCACTTAGTTATTATATATCATAGGTGTATCACTTAAGTTATTTTTCAATCAAGTGACCCATTCCCCAATTATGTAACAGTATATTTTCAGCCTTCAAGCTGCCACGCTCTTTCAATAAACCGTTAATTATTATTACAAAAATGCATACAAATAAATAATAATGGGGAAATCCTCTCACAAATAATAATGTGTGACTGCTCTCAAGTAAACTCCATCCTTTGTTATTGAAGTTGAGTTGGTCGAGTTGCCATACAGAGCCAGCACCAGCTGGGTTAATATGTACAGTAGATCAAACTTACAGAATTTCTACATGACCGCAAGCAGTGTGTGGTGATTAATGGCACGAAATCATCATCCGTACCTGTCACAAGCTGGGTACCACAGGGCAGTGTATTGGGCCTGCTGCTGTTTGTTTGTTTCATAAATGACATGCCTGACGTTGTACACTCCTCCATACAAATGTTTGCCGATGACGCCAAGTTATTTCAGGAAATCAAGAACCAAACAGACTGTGAAGAGCTGCAGAAGGACCTCACCTCTGTGGGCTCCAAGAATGGTCGAAGAAATGGCTGCCGAGATTCAATGTCACGAAGTGTAAGAGGATGCACCTGGGGCGTACCAACGGTAAGGAGGCGTATCATATGTCCCAACGGTTCGTCCCTCGTAATGATCTTCAAGAGTGAAGTGCTTCCCCATCTGGAGTATTGTCACCCCGTCTGGTCCCCGAGATATGCTTGGGACTATCAGTTGGTTGAAAATGTTTAAAGGAGGGCCACCAGACTGGTGCCTGCACTTCGGCACCTCAGCTACCCTGAGAGATTGGAGCGCCTGAACTCGCCTAGCTTGTACTGTACTACAGATGGGCAAGAGGTGACCTAATTGAGGTGTATAAGCATCTCAAGGGGTACTAGTCAGTCGAGTGTCCTTACTTGGAGCTGGTGGACGCTTGCCCCACAAGGGGTCACAGCTCAAGATTGAAGAAACCGCAAGTCCAGAAAACTGTGAGGGCAAACTTTTTCGGAGTGCGAGTTGTGAACTCTTGGAACAATCTACCAGAAAGTGTTGTGACGGCACTGAGTGTGAGCTCTTTCAAGACAAGACTTGACCAACACTGGAGCAGGTTCAGGTACATTCAGGAGCCGGTGCATGCCCAGTACTTGCCATCAGTGCGTAACAGAGCCGATCATTTGGTGAAGAGGATAAAAGAAAAGGAAAATTAATCAGAGACACGACCGATCGCCCAAGCGGCTAACGAGCCGCTCAGTGGTGAAGAGGATAAAAGTAAAAAAGTAAAAGAAATATGGCAGGGAGCGAGGAGTTACAACTGCAGACGGCGCGCTAACTGGCAGTCACTCCTTTCACCCACTCCCATTGCCAGGCGGAGCCAGGTATACGTATGGGAGAAATACATGACCTTCTTTTCTGTTTTCACTTGTTTGGGCGCCTTCCCACGGCTGGATGAAGGTGGTTGAGGGCGTGTGGGAGCCATCACATGGATGAGGAGCACAGTTGTTATGAGAGCAGAGTAGCACACGCGCGAGATGGACAAGTGTTTATCCAGGACTGAGGTGGAGCACACATGAGCCAGCCTCCCGGGACAAGAGAAACACCTTGCAGGACACCACAAAACTCGCGCACTCCCCGTACCAGCCACGAAAATGCTGGTAACTTTAAAACTACCCGCAGACATTCTTGGGTACATCCAGGGTGTCACCCGCAAAAAATAGACAAGACTTATCAAGAACAATGGAGGGATCCTACACATGCCATTGACCTCCTTTTCTCAGCATGACCACATCTAGTTTGGGTTGTTATTATGTAAATAAGGTAAACAGTAAGTCAATTGATGATTCAACCAGGAATAATCTGAGCAGCTCTCAGCTACAGTAATCTGCAAGGTTATCTACCTCCAATCACATTAGTATCCAGAACTCACCAATTGGAGGTGGCTGCTTTTAACGTTACAAACAACTCTCTCCTGTATCATGCAAAACAAAAATTAAATTTCCTTGACTTTACATTTACTGCATATATGTATAGCATTAGTAATTCAGCAAACGAATTATTTTTAATGTTACATAGTGCGTACAGTAACAGAGACGTGACCGATCGCCCAAGCGGCTAACAAGCCGATCAGTGGTGAAGAGTATAAAAGTAAATAATCATAATACTGTATCTAAAAGAAGCAACTTTCTTAACAGAAATATAATTTGCTTCAATTAAATTTAACGATTTGTAAATATTATTTTTTCGAGAAATACACGATATCCCTCCCTATGTCTCTGTTATGTCAGTGTTGGTTACTGACACTGCTCTGTGAAGTCGTCAACCTAACTGTCAGGTGAGGTCTGCATGCTACATCAGTCTCTCTTCTTTATTACCAAGCTTATACAGTATATCAATATTTCTTTAGCCTAACTCTCTGTTACGATATTTTAATGTCTCATTTGTTCAATTGTGTCCAAATAAGCAAATTTCTTTACACAAATGTTCTGTTTCAATTAAATTAAACAATTACCCACAGTGTCTAGGTACAATAGTAATTACACACATACATGAACGGTCTATTTACATTGTACAGTATACTGGTATTGTACAGGCAAGTCTCGAGATTCAACCGTAAATAATTCTTGAAAACTGATCATATGACATTAAAATGATGTACGAGAAGAAATTAATCATTTACCACGTAAAATTACTCCATGCTGCTTCAAGAATGTTGCTTTTATTGGTACTAGATATCAAAGTATATACCGGGTACTTCCTGGTTAATATGGTGGGGGATCCTCTCCCAACTAGGATGTTATGTAGGTTTCTTTGGTTGGTTAGGTCAGTTTAGGTCAGGTTCTATTAGGTTTTATGCAATGTTGTATAATTTTTATTCCTTACTATCACCCAAAGACCATCTGTGGCAAAAGAGAACAAAATCGAACGTGTTCTGATGCAAGCCATCTGCTCCAGGATTACCACCTTTTTTCTATCACACTAAATACAAGTCAATACTGTATGAGTTCCGTGGTTGACCTTTTCTGGTCTTAATCCACATCAAATGAGGGACATTAGGTCAGGAGATCACATAGACCCATTCCCCTTCCTATTGCCAGTGCACTTTTACAGAACAACTGCTGGTGATCATTCTATGTAGGACTTCTAAAGTAGGGCCACTTTTTTTTTTTTTACGTGAATTGCCCACCCGGGCACAGGTCAAACGACCCACAACAGAGCCTGGGGGGCGAAAAAAAAAAGAACGGAAAGAAATTGTAAATATAGAAAAAAAGGTTATACTGTATTAATCTACACCACGAAGATGCCGGAAAACCAGTTTTTTAAAGTGAGACAGATTGCAAGAGCATGGAAACACAGAAGAAGGCAGAGGTAATTAAAGATCCCAATAAAAAAAAATCAGTAAAATTAGAGTTTTGATCATCCCTGTATTCAGATATCTAAACTAATCTAACCTAAATTAACCAACCTAACCTAACTTAATATAACCTAACCTATATCTAATAAAAGCTGTTATGTTATTCCAGGATATTTCAAGTTAGAGCAAGTTATATAAGGCACATAATGTACACACATAAATGATGATGGAGGCCACTGTAAAGTACATTACTACTGCCATGTAAGACTTATAAAAGTCCTTACTATTTGATATTATGCACACATGGCTATTCACGACAAATGGTTGAATTAGATTCATATATTTATTTTCAAATATGTCTTACAAATGTGTTAATGACCCACGTGACCTGACATCCGCAACATAATTTACCTTGACAATTAAGTCATCAACTTTCACTCGCCTCAAAGCAGTAATTTTACGACCACTGACACCATATCACACACCAAATCACACCATTACTGACAGTCATTTACCAAATGCTCTTCAAAACAAATTGATGTGTCAAATTTTATATATTATATCAAATAACATTACGAATAAGTGTCATGGGTGTCATTAGTACTCTTGGTGACAAGAAATGTTACCTGTTTACACTTGAATAATTACAAGCACCATTTACGAGTTAGTTATAGGTTGTCGTTGCAAATCGTTGTGTCACTGGTAAATAGTTCTTAGAGATCAGTATCCATCACACCGGGACCATGTCCAATAATGCGTCGCCGTGTCGTCTGCAGCACTAACCCGTACCGTCATCACTGGCTGGCTCACTCACAGCAAGGACTATATACTGTACTCCAGGAGGATGGCTCACTCACAGCAAGGACTATATACTGTACTCCAGGAGGATGGCTCACTCACAGCAAGGACTATATACTGTACTCTAGGAGGATGGCTCACTCACAGCAAGGACTATATACTGTACTCTAGGAGGATGGCTCACTCACAGCAAGGACTATATACTGTACTCTAGGAGGATGGCTCACTCACACAAGGACTATATACTGTACTCTAGGAGGATGGCTCACTCACAGCAAGGACTATATACTGTACTCTAGGAGGATGGCTCACTCACAGCAAGGACTATATACTGTACTCTAGGAGGATGGCTCACTCACAGCAAGGACTATATACTGTACTCTAGGAGGATGGCTCACTCACAGCAAGGACTATATACTGTACTCTAGGAGGATGGCTCACTCACAGCAAGGACTATATACTGTACTCTAGGAGGATGGCTCACTCACAGCAAGGACTATATACTGTACTCTAGGAGGATGGCTCACTCACAGCAAGGACTATATACTGTACTCTAGGAGGATGGCTCACTCATTCCACTCAATGTTGATTTTTTTTATCCTCTCACGACGGTGGCGTCGCCAAGCGGCCGTTGGGTATAAAAACACATTAAGTCCATTGCACCTTACATTGGTTATTCTGCAGTGAAATATAATTAAACATTTGCCTACTTAAGGGAATATTCTCCCCTCCGTTCTTCGGTAAGATTAATGGTGGTAGCTATACAACTTTACACCAGTTTTACACCATTTAATAGAAACAAATATCACAGAGTTAAACAATGCACTTTATTGTAGGCTACTTGTTTTGAACAGGTTACTATTTTAGTAGTGATGTAAACAATACCATTGTTTTTACATCTTATTTTGTGCTTACTAGTTTATTGATGACAAAGGTGGAAGTTTTAAGTTATTACAGTGGGCAAAAGTTTGAAGATCAAATTTCATAAATATTACTTTGGCGGAAATCTGTTCTGTTGGAGGCTTTCCCCCCTGACTATGGGCTGCGTTGGGTTGAATAAGCTGAGGGCAGTAGCAAAAAGGGGGGCGGGCATTGCCCCATGCCCCCCCCCCTAATACGCCACTGATATAAAATATGCAAGTATACAGGTACATAGTTCAGAATGAATATAGGATCGCTTGTGTCGGGGGTTTCATTTTACATCACATAGAGTGGCTTGGCTCTGCAGAGGATGACCCAGGTGGAGCTGAGGCACTCTCTTTTTCCTTACTTAATTATCTGGAACAAATAATTAAACACCCTACACGTGTTCCTGATCGACACGATCAACTTGCTAACATTCTTGATCTTTGTTTTACCCCTAACCCTTCACACTATTCATAGTCAATTTCTGCCCCTTAGGGCCTTCTGATCACAATCTTATTTCTATTAAATCAAACAAGGCACGGCCACCTCCCCCACCCCCGTCTAAACTATGGCACTATCGGAGGGAAAACTAGCAATCCTTGCGAGAATTCTTCTCCGACTTTCCTTGAGATGAATGTTGCTTTTCCACCCGGGACGCCCCTGTATGTGCTGACAGCATTGCTGGGGTTATACAAGGTAGTATGAGTGCATTTATCCCATCTTCTACCCAAACTTTCACTTTACAATCGTGGTTAGATCGCTCCTGTTAGCTTGCATGTAGGGAGAGAGATAGGGCGTATCAAGTTATGAAACTATCGCCTTCTCCTATTACCCACTCCTCTTTCATTACTTCGAGGAATCGTTGTAAGGCTATTCTCCTTAGGGACAAGCGGAACTTTATAAAAAGAAAGACCACTGTCCTGACTAGCTCTTCTTCTAGTAAATCCTTCTGGTCCTTAACCAAAAACATCTGTAATAACTTCTGCACTCCCTCTTTTCCTCCTCTCTTCCAACCTAATAACTCTATAGCCAACTTTCCCCCTGATAAAGCCAGTCTCTTTGGCACCTTATTCTCCTCTAGCTCCACCTTAGACGATCCCAACTCTATCCCTCCTACTCCTATTCCTCCCACTGAACCTATGTACTTTCCTACAATCTTCACTCGTAGGGGTGCTGGAGTATTATCCAGGTTGGATGTGAGTAAGGCACAAGGACCGGACGGAATACCCCCTCGTGTTCTGAGGGAGTGTGCTGAAGTTCTGGCCCCTGTACTTGCTCACCTCTTTCACCTTTGCCTCAAAACCCAAACTTTTCCTTCTTCTTGGAAGCATGCCTTGGTTCAGCCCATCCCGAAGAAGGGTGACCATTTTAATCCCTCTAACTATCGCCCCATTGCCCTAACTTCATCCCTCTCTAAGATTTTCGAAACTATCGTAAACCCGCATTTTCTCCGTCACCTTGAACGCTTTTCTCTTTTGTTGGATCACCAGTATGGCTTTCGCCAGGCGAGATCCACTGGTGATCTGCTCTCCTACTGCACCCATCTTTGGTCATCCTCTCTTAGGGATTATGGGGAAACTTTCGCTGTGGCCCTCGACATCTCCAAAGCATATGACAGGGTATGGCACAAGTCTTTGCTTTCTAAATTTCCCTCTTATGGTTTCTCTCCCCCATTTTGTTCTCAAATTTCTAGCTTCCTTGAGAACCGATTCATGGCAGTTGTTGTCGAGGGATCGACCTCTCGCTCTTTCTCTACCAATAGTGGTGTCCCACAGGGTTCTGTTCTTTCACCTATGCTCTTTCTTCTTTTTATCAATGATTTACTTCACACTACGACTAATTCTATCCATACTTACGCTGATGATTTTACTCTTCACTCTTCTTCACATTTTCCCCTTCCCCCTAATTCTCAAACTAGAACTGTTTCTAGAGCTGATATCATTTCATCTATCAATGCGGATCTGTGCAGCATCTCTGAATAGGGAGGTAGAAACTTGGTTAAATTCAATAGTAATGAAACTCAGTACTTACTAATTACACTTTCCAAATTAGATGATCTCTCACCAATCACATTTCAGGACGCAATCATACTGCTAAGTTCTAAAATAGATAGGCTAGATCTCACCATTTCCTCTAATATGTCATGGAAGCCACACATTCACAACATTGCTAAAGCTGCCTCCCAAAAGCTGGGAATGCTGTACAGATGCCGTAGCTACTTCACTCCTGAGCAGTTGCTTCAAGTTTATTAGGGATTCATTCGTCCTAGCTTGGAGTACTGCTCTCATATCTGGATTGGATCTTCCTCTGTCCAACTGTTAGATAGGGTGGAATCAAAAGCTTCACTCTCTCTCTTTTACAAGTACTCGTACTTCAACGAGCAATGTTTGGTGGATTTGGCATCCTGTGTACCGCCGGCAAGGCTCGTAACACTCATCTTGCCTGCGGTGTCCATCGTTTCTCTGTGGATGTCGGTCACACTAGAATATCCCGTTATAGTACATTCTTCTTTCCTAACACAGCCAAACTGTGGAATGCTCTGCCTTCTTCTGTGTTTCCATACTCATACAATCTGTCTCACTTCAAAAAGCTGGTTTTCCGGCATATTCGTGGTGTATATTAATATAATATTTTTCTTTTCTATTTTTAAATTCTTTTAACTCTTATTTTTTCGCCACCTAGACCCCGTTGTGGGTCGATGACCTATGCCTGGGTGGGCTATTCCTCGCAAAAAAGGGGGGAAAAAAGGCTACATAATTTCCAGTGGCGGATCTAGACATTTACAAAGGTATGTGCGACCCACTGAACAGGCGCCCCAAAAAATCTGAATACAGTATTACCTTATTTAGTACCGAACTACAATTTTTTTTACACCTCTTGAAAATTATAAATGTTTTTTTTTTCCCGCAGTCCGTGTTCACAATATATGTATATTAAAAGTTTTTAAGTGAACTATTTGTTCTTAACGTTCCCACAACGGTCACTTGTGGTACTGGTAAGCCATCACTTTTGACAATTCCTCTGTGTGGGAGAATTACGAGGTCATTAGCAAGAGCGACAACTGGTACCTGTGGGCGTGGCTGGTTGAGTTAGGTAAGAAGACCGTCATGATGGCGACATCACAGAGGAAGCGTGTAAACCTGGTGTTAAGTCACATTGAAGCCTCGACCGCTTGGCATCAAAACTGACTACGCATTATTTTACAGTTAAATTAGCAATTTTTAGAAACACTTTCCATGTTGTAACATAACTTAACTATTAAGGGGTTCTTTTTTTTACTTTTGAAAACTAATATGATATTTGGGTAACTTGCCAACAGTGAATAACAGCCAGTAAATGCCCACAGTGCCTAACAGAAACGTGACTGACCTCCCAAGCGACTAACAGGTCGGTCAGTGGCGAAGAGGATAAAATAAAATAAATTACACTAAAATAAAATAATTGTTATATCATACAACCAAAATAAAAAGTAAGGAAGTTATCCCATCTCGAAGTTCCATTTTCTTTTATTGCAACATAGAAAATGAACGTAAATAAAGTTTCACGAATGAGTTTAAATACGGGATTTAAAATACTTTGAATGAGATTAAATGCGGGATTTAAATGACTTTGAATGAGTTTAAAGGTGTTGCCGTACCGAAGCATCACCGAGTATTACTTTAATTAAATGGCTAATAATAACAATAATAACAGCAATAATATTGGTAATTTGCGAGGGAAACGTCATAGAAGAAAAGTGTCTTAGAATTGTCTGAACTAGCTATTGATCGTAAAGATAAAATTCTCGAGATTAGGTTTGTATCAATAATAATAATAATAATTATTATTATTATTTTTATTATTATTATTATTATTATTATTAACTATGTATAGAATAATTACCATGCAGTGAATTCAGGACAGAGTTAAATTAAAGAAATTAACCATAGCTATAGAAATTTTAGTTATAAAAGTTCACATGGTTGGTAGTAGGCAGCTATCAAACGGGGAGGTACTACTGCAGCGTAGTGTACTGTATAAGACCAGTTGTCTACTTTATCTTTGTGTTTGTCTATTTTCTCTTTGTTAGGCTCACATTCATACATACATGTAGGA